CCGCCCCAAAATCCGGCCCCGGGACCCCCAAAAATCCGCCCCCCCCCGCACCTCCGCCGCCATCGCGGTTCCCCTCGGGATCACGTGACCGCCGCCGCGCCGCTGGTTTCCGGTCACGTGGCGCCGCCCCGGAAGCGGAAGCGGTGGCGATGGCGGCGCGGCGCGCGGTTGCCATGGTAACGGCCGGGCCTCCCCGGGGGTTAATTAGCCCCCAAATCAGCGCTAATTAGCGCCCCCCTCCCCCTCATTTGCATGGAGAGCCCCCGGCGCGGCCGCTGGTTGGCTGCGGGGCGCGGGACGGCGTTAATTGGGCGTTAATTAGTGCTGGGGGGAATTAGCGGTGTTCGGGGGTAATTAGTGTTAATTAGCGGGGCTGGACATCGACCGGCGCTAAATAAGTTGTCAATGTTTTGCTAATTTAGCGGTAATTAAGGGCCTAATCAACAATATTTGTGAGCTAATTAGCACTAATTAAGGGCGCTAATTGCAGGGGCCCTGGGCCGTGCCTAGTGGATAATTAGGGGTTAATGAGGGGTTAATTAGCGGCTAATTAAGGGCGCTACTTGCAGGGGCCCTGGGCCGTGCCGCTGCCCCCGCGCTGGGCCCGGGCCTGGAGGGGCCTGAGCAGCAGGTGAGCCCAAAATTAACCCAAATTAACCCAAATTAACCCAAAATTACCAAAATTAACCCAAAATGACCCAAAATTAACCCAAAATGGCCCCAAAATGAGCCCAAAACCGCCCAAAATTAACCCAAAATGACCTAAAATGGGCCCAAAATTGACCCAAAATGAGCCCAAAACGGCCCAAAATGACCCAAAATTACCCCAAAATAGCCCCAAAATGACCCAAAATGAGCCCAAAACTGCCCAAAATGAGCCCAAAACGGCCCAAAATGACCCAAAATTACCCCAAAATAGCCCCAAAATGACCCAAAATGAGCCCAAAACTGACCCAAAATCGCCCAAAATTGACCCAAAATGAGCCCAAAACGGCCCAAAATGACCCAAAATTAACCCAAATTAACCCAAAATGACCCAAAATTAACCCAAATTAACCCAAAATGACCCAAAATTAACCCAAAATGGCCCCAAAATGAGCCCAAAACCGCCCAAAATTAACCCAAAATGACCTAAAATGAACCCAAAATCGACCAAAATTGACCCAAAATGACCCAAAATGGCCAAAATTGACCCAAAATGAGCCCAAAATGGCCAAAATTGACCCAAAATGAGCCCAAAATTGACCCAAAACGGCCCAAAATGACCCAAAATTAACACAAATCAACCCAAAATGACCCAAAATTACCCCAAAATAGCCCCAAAATGAGCCCAAAACTGACCCAAAATGAGCCCAAAACTGCCCAAAATTAACCCAAAATGGCCCCAAAATGGCCCAAAATTACCCCAAAATGCCTAAAGTCACCCAAATCTCCCCCAAAATGCCCCCAAAACCCCCCTAGGGATCCCCAAAATGCCCCAAAATCTCCCCCAGGGATCCCAAACTGCTCCAAAATCCCCAAAATGCCCCAAAAACTCCCGTAGGGATCCCCAAACTGCCCCAAACTCACCCAAAACTGCCCCAAACTCACCCAAAACTGACCCAAACTCACCCAAAACTGCCCCAAAATCACCAAAACTGCCCCAAACTCACCCAAACTGCCCCAAACTCACCAAAACTGCCCCAAACTCACCCAAAACTGCCCCAAACTCACCCAAATCTGCCCCAAATTCACTCAAATTGCCCCAAACTCACCCAAACTGCCCCA